TCTTTATTCTGAAACACAGGTCTGAAGCATATGACTACTTATGAGTTCCTGACTAGGCAACGTCAGAAAAATCAGTCTTGTGGGGACACTGGACTCTATTTAGCTGGTTCAGGGAGTCCAAATGATCTTGAATCGCATCACCAATCCTGCAGCTTCCATACCTTCTCTATACCCCCTGGTTCCGGCTTGGCTTCAGTCTTCGAAACTCGAGGGTCCTCTCTTCAAGCTGGCATTGTAGGGTTAAGGGATAAGAAGATAAAAAAAGTAACTGAAAATTCAAATTTTTCGCCATCACAATCATCACCTTTTCCGATTTCGCTACCAAGTCAGGCCGTAACGTCACCAAGGCCCAGAGAAACCCCTAATGCAGGAGCTATTTATCACTCATCTCAAATGGACATTAGCAGCAAGCCACATTGCTTGCCTGCCCTTCGTACGGAAGACCTTTCCGGAATCCATGGTAGCACAGAAGCAAGGGCGCCAGTGGAACGCGAACTAATACCTGCTGGTAGTGAGTCCTCCTCATCGGCCCTGAGGCCAAACCTTAATGGTTTCAATCCGCCTGTAAACTATATCTTGCCAGGCTTGCAGCCCATTTCTAAATCGGCAAATGAGGTGACATCTGCGGGTCTCGAAAATTTACGCTTCGTTAGCCTTCAACATTCGCCCAGTTTTGGCAGTAACCAGGGCGTAACTTCTGAAAAAGGTGGGCTGCTAATCACCTTAATATAGGCCCCATTCGATAACGGATAACGGGAATTACTTATTATTGCCTGGTATACTTTTATATTCTTTGTAACTCATTAGGGCCTCTTAAACATTCGTCTTTTCTGCCCAAAAAAACTAGTATTGAGGTAATATCCATTTGGCATATTTAATTAGTTTTAGATACGAAGAAAAACTTCGATGAATCTCCTGAGATAACATTGTTAGGGGGACCTTCATTTCGTATGAAAGTGCATAAGGAAGAGATTCGTTGGTCGATCTCACCAGATAAAGACAGATGAACCTTGTTGTACTTCAGCCGCTTGGTTTGTATACGATATTAATGTTAACGCAGTCCACGAGACTTCCTCCCTTGTTTCGGGTGAAAACGTGCTGAGATTTCGTCCATCATATGATGG